GCTATATGGGAGAAATCTCTTTAGCTTGCAACACGGATTCAAAAAAATAATTCAGGTTGCAAAGAGTTTTCGTGGACGATTTCGAACTAATATTTAAATTACCTGTTTAAAACCCAATGTAGATACTTCATCTTCTATTTTTAATCGCGACCACATGCCACCAATGATTTCTGCATCACCTAAAAACTATAATTTTTTTCAGTATATCACTTATACAGTAATTTTTATAAAAAATTACCTGACATGAAAGGCCCACATGACTTAGGAAAGAGACTGGCGTCGTAAAAGTGAGGCGCTGCTACATACATTTTAAACAGGAAAGTCATTGTAAAGTATTTGTAAAGATTAACGTAATTCTTAAATGTTTAATTCGAATGTACCGTCAACTGGTTTTAAATAAACGTCCTTGAAGTAAAAATCGCAATGATAACTTGGACTAGATTGCACCAATGACGACCATCTGGTAGCTTGTGACAGATATGGTAATGCTATTTGCCTAATAGAAGACAAGCTTAGAGACGTAAGATATATCTTTGTCGAACATCTTTAAACTTTGCATATTTAGGTGAAAATAAAAAACCTGTCAGTCTAGAGTTGCGTATGTAGTCGATATTTTAATTATATTTTGAAACTGTACCATTAGAACTTGCCACGCAAACCAATTAATCAAAATAATCGTAAAAGGGTTTGCTAATTCGATTACGGTGAGTTTACATAAATTGCTCCTAAATGCCGTTTAAAAGTGCGACTGTTAACAGTTCCCAAATTGTCCGAAAAAATACCTTTTTACTTATGCTCTATGGACATCAGTTATGTAAAGTTAACATAACAGTGCGCTAAAATCTGTGGAGTCGCACATGACACGGCCACAACAAGATCCCATTTAACTTGCACTAAATCGACAGGTCACCCATTCCTATAGTCCTCTTTTTTTCTCTGCCGTTCATTACTCATTCACTAAAGTATCAAAGTTCAATTTAAACCTCTCCATACGATGATTTTCGAAATCAGAAAATGTGTGCAGTTAAAAACAGTAGAGCTCACGCGTTGTGTCTGTAGATTCCGTCGTGTTTCTAACTCCTTTTCTGTTAAGGAGAAAGCGGTTACTACCTAAAATCAATAATTTGCCCTTTAGCAAAGTAAGTCTGTTTGAAGATAATTCTCAGAAAAGTAATTCTGCACAGATTTTTTGGTTAAACTCGATGCATAAAATCAGCTAACTTTGTTCTGCATGAGCAGTCAGTCGCTCTACATAGTTCAACAAGGACCTTATTTTGAAAAAAAACATCCCGATCTTCTGATCGACTTGAAAAAGCCTACGAGCTACTTTAAATAAGAGCTATATGTGAAGTAAAACAAAGATGCTTCCAATATTTGCCCCTTTTTACTTTTTTAGTCGTATAGTAAATTAAAGTAAAATCAGGTAAATTAATTGATCTTCTTCGTGCCGATTCAATGTATTCTCTGACTTATCGATTACCCAGTTGAATTTACACCTTTACTCGCATTAGTGAACTTAGTTAAACTCGGATTTCACATATTATCTATTACCTAGTTCCATAAATTAATGCCAATTTTGAGGGTGTATGTGATTAAAACCAGTTACGTTCTCATTCAAAAAAAATTTGATTGGTCTACCTAATGTTCGTTTCAATCTTCGTTATCTCTGAGCTTTTATGCACCCCAGCGTGTTTTCGCCTTCCACCCAGGTCTCCATGTATTCGGTTAGCCCAATATGGTTTCAAATCTCACAATGAAACTTAAAAACACACGCCAATATAATGACAGAAAGCTCACCTCGCACAATGCTTCCACTCCAATATCCGTTATCAAATTACTGCATAAGCAGACAGCTTTAATACTTCTATTAGTTCGTAAAGCCTACAATATATTTTAAAGCAGTGCTCATTCATACACGCATGATTTACAAAATTCCTCCTATAGACTAAGGCTTTTAGTAAATAAATAAGAGTAAGGCATTTTCATGAGTCCGTCTTTAGGTGCTCGCATACTACGAAATATTACGCGGGAAAATGTGTTACACTCTCAGCCATATGATGCAGTGGATCTTCATCAAAGACTCATAAGTATATGCGTGCTTGAAAAGGGTTAAACAGGAGAATTCTTGTCACTGATTTTAACCTAACCTTTCATTGGCCATCACACACAAAGACCCATTAGTTTTTACAGGTAGTCCATAAATATGTCCATGCATGTAGCAAAACGGCACCATGTCTAATGGGCAAATACAACATCTGCTTCTCTTTTTGTTTTTAATGCCTTATTATGCAAAGTATTAGCTCAACACATTAACACGAGTACCTGGTGTCCATGGCTGGTTATTCCGCTAAATATAAGTAGCGCAAAAGCTTACTTTAGCAAGTTGACAAGCTCCTTCGTCACCTACACGGTTTCCACTTATATCCAAAAAGACTAATCTATTAGGAAGAATACATGATTGTAGAAATTTATGCAGGAAATTTCTGTTCAGGCTCCCGTAGACCAAAAAAAGATTTTGATTGCTAAAATTAATGACATTAAAGCAAAACAGAAGGCACTGAACAATAGAATTCGCAAAAACAAACCTTTGATTTTCCACTTCTGGTTCGGATGTATGCTCCATATTATCTACCAAAAAAAGTAGAAAAGGCTAGTAGAGAAAAAGCAAGTTCACCGTGCTTCACAAATATTTATCTAAGCACAGTATGCATGTAAAAACTTTGAATCAAGTAGATGAATAGTCAGGTTTTAATAAGAATGAGCGACTGATCCTACCAAGCAGCTGCTTTAAGTACATTTAGTTATTTCAACACTTACATTTCATTCATTTTTTTGGTCATTGAGGAGGTTAAAAATGACATTACTTAAAATGAATAAAATATTTATTCACGCTTTCGGTTTTATGATGAATTTGTTTAAGATCTACACCAAAAGTCATTAAATGTCCTTGTTATACTTTCATTTTTATACCCACTAACAAAATAACATATTATAAATTATCTTTAATGCACGACCAAGTAAGTGAGTCTACCTTTAGGATAATCTTTACTCTGCAACATACTAATGTACTATCAATCAATAAAGCGCAATAATAACTATGATAACATAAGAGAGCAGCGATCCATTTAGCTAAAACAAATAAGCAATGTAGACGAATACAACAAATCAATTAGGAACGTGGACGACTAAAACGAATCTCTAGGCCACGTATGAAGTGACTTATCCTCATTATAGGTTATATCAATTAAATCAGGGTGCATTTTTTCAACATTTATGTAGTAAAATTATAAACTGTATCATCTTTTGGCCACATATTTGTAGCAGCACGAAAAAATTTACATGATGCAAAACTGATGCACAAAATAAAAATAGGGCTTAAAAATTGAAGCGAAATAAGGAATTTTTTTTGCACATAAAGATTTCTTGTTCAGTGTAAAAAGTACAAAACACTGTGGGTTGCACTCGGCATGTTTTCCAGCTGCTGATTTAAATTTCCATTCAATTTTTGGAAAAAATAAATCCATTTGTTATGATTGTCAAATATTGAATAAATGGATTCAGTGATTTCAGTCATTTTTTTTTGCAGTTAAGATTTTACTTTGACAATATACGATTTTATGTTCAAAATATTGATTAATTTTTTTTTAAATAAAGCAATTCAAAATTTGGTTACGATTTTGAAGAACGTAATATGTGATATATTTTTAAATGTTTTTAATTAATGCAAAATTTTAAAAATTCGTTTTTTTTTCTAAAAATTTTAGATCGAGCGTTGGGACATTATAGAAAAGATTGTTTGGTCGCGATCACCTCGGCGTCACGAATCGTTGATTGCATCGGCATGTGGTCTCAATTCACAGGGTTGGATTTGGGCCAAGTACGTTTTCCGATACCTTAAAAGTTGAAAAAGATTGAGGATTGCGGTTTACAACCCTTAACTAAAATCCTTAACCAAGATTTTCCGTACCGTTGATCAACACGAATACTAGCACAATTTTAGTTGTTAACCAGGACAGATTGTTATCTTCGAGAGGAAACCAACATGTTTAAAATTACTTGCAGGTATTGTGTTTGATCTTTATTCGACATGGTTTAGATTTTCTCAGAATAACCATGGCCTCCCAAACTCGCATTAGCCCTTCTGTTTTACGTTACCAGAGCCAATGTGTGGTTGAGAAGGTTGCGCCTTTCACTCATCTCAATCACAGGTTAGACATAAGCAACCCTATAAGCTACTCAAATACATCTTTATAGCGAGATGACATTCCTGAAGCTTTCCAATATGGCTACGGCTTGTTTTCACTTCTGTAGAATACCCGAGCCCTAATAGGAAAAAGACCGGTACAGCGGAACAGGCTTTATCGAATAATCAGAAGCCAGAGCCACGCGTCAGGCGCCTTCAATCCGAGTCCACCACGCTGGCCACGCCGCTCATTATATACTGCATCTCATCCATGTCCTTCTCTGGTTGGCTGCTTATCTTTCCCGCATGCCATTGGAACACAGAGAGACACAGGATTGGCTGCGGCCAGGTGGTCCAACATGTCTGCGCCCTGATTCGTCGCCGCACTTCGCCACTTATATACCCTTGTGTTCGTTCATCTTTTGTCTTTGCATGCCTTTAGTACCTTTATTATCTTTAGCATCCGTACACGTCTGGCTCGTAATGGGGCTGGATGATGGGTAGGAGTACCCCAAACTGCTGTGTCGTTCATTTTTGTTGCGTCCACCAAATTCCAAATTGTCTTTTTACCAAGGCAGATAGTGTGGTAAAATTGTTTTTATGGATTTTATACTGTCTCAGCACGCGTTTTTGCTCTGTTATAATGGTTCTTATCTCGTTTTGTCTGAATTCATTTCAGCTGACTCAATATGACCGCTCGAAGTGGTATTAGTGGTTAGTTCTGCCTTGGTTGTACTAACAATATACCTTTAAAGCCAACGAAGAATTATTATCCACTTTGGCGAAAGCAAAGCTTGGCTCGATTCGCCTTGTTCATATGCAGATAGAAGATGAACAAATCAAGCTCCGTGGAACTCGCCCTGTAAAGGGCTCGTGGCAGGATGATTTCGACCAGTTGGTCAAGCCTTTATTGGAACCATCCACCGCCTCCTACTTCCTCTACAGACTCGACTCGAAAAACGACCTGGGATATGAATGGGTCCTCTTCACGTGGATTCCTGATGAAGCTCATGTAAATCATGTCTTTCTTTACTTCTTTTAGGTTTGGCAGAAAACGTTGTACGCGTCAACGCGTGCCACATTCAGACAGCAGTTTGGTGATGGATATCTTGCTGATGATCTGCTTTGTCATGATAAAGTAAATACACATTTCATGTTGGTATTTACTCCTCCTAAAGGATGACCTCTCTCTGGCTGGGTATCTTCGACATTTGGCTGCAAGGAAAGCTCCTGTGCCACTCACGTATGCCGAGGAACAAGCCATGGAATTTACAGCCGATCACGTAAATTTTAGCTTCATGTATTAACATTGTAGATTTCTCATGCTTCAATGAACGACGGTCACAGTAGCATGGGGGGAGTTGCATTTGGCTTGACAAGTTCAGCTGAGAAAGCTATAAGAAACTTTGTTGTCGGAAAAGCGTCATACGTTCAATTTGTGAGTTCACTGGATTTTCAGATTTATTGTTTAATAAAATCAGATACATAATCCAATGCGTCCTGTTCATTTCTCATACCTATCTTTTAGATGAGAACTGATTTCCATTCTGTTGATTTCAAAATAAAACTTGCACTTTTTATTAACCAGTATGCTTTCGTTTTTTCATTATTATTATTAATGTAATATTTATCATTCATTTTATCAAAGTAGAATAAGAAAATTAGTTTATGTTCCAGTTGTTTTCTTAATTGCAATTTATGTGGATGCTTCGCAGGATTTCAACCTCTTTTTACGAGCACTGTTCCTCTAAGTTATTGATGTTTAGGTTTATCTTTGGTTTACGTTCAATGGATATATAACTTAATGCACCACCCTCTTTCTACAATACACTGTTTGAAATGATCGTGGTTAATGCTGGAAGTTGAATGTGGAAGTATGAAGTTTCCTTGGTGGTCTTCTACTGGCACTCTTGTGGTACATTGGAATAGTGATTGTTCTGATAGAACGGTACTTTGGGAAAAGTTTCAACTTGTCTATCTCATCACTTTATTTGTGGAAGTAGCAATCCACGTTAGTGGCTCTGTTTCTGTTACAAATGGCCTTAGTTTGTTGCCCAGTATTTTGGTGAATAACGTCATTTATTTGGCTGCAACAGACAAATTCTAAATCACAACTCTGCCAAACGTTTAAAGTTTCATCATGAATGTCGGATTCATATGCCTTTTTCTTGCTAGCAATTTGGTCAGCGACGGTAGTTCCCTCAATTCAAAGTTCAGATTTTTTCATATGTACTCAATACTAATTCCTATTTCCCTATCTGGAGTAGTCTTAGTGAGACCTAACATTGTCCTAAACACTAACCCTCCCGCCTGATTTTCCTGTATGTATAGTCTATGTGTTAGTTGGCTTTTTTTCTGCGAACTCAAATTCCTGTGTTGTTTGCTGTACTATTCGCAAGAAACAGATGGAACGATCCTCGCTATTGCCCTTGTTTGGAGTATTTCTTTGTTTTTTCTCCTTTAACTATGCATACACATATTTAGGGCGCTTTTTGTCTTTTTCAGCAAATCGACATTAACCAAGAATCTATTTACTCAACCGTTATTAAGGAAAACTTAAAACCTGAAGAGATCGGTCCACTTACTCCACCCAACACCGGGTCTTATCACCTCTACCGATTTCTTCACGAATTTAATGGTGCAAAATTTGATCCTGTGGGTGAGTTAGTCATTCCTAATAACCTATTTTAAAAGTATTCCCAGTAATATGGCATGACCTGCGGATCTTGAATATAGCCAGTAAATTTTTAGCATGTTTGGGCTAGAATCTTACCAGCTGCACGTCTACTTACCAAATTTCCGAGTTGTGAGCCTCAATGAACATTCTGACACCTTAAAGCTTGTCCCCCATTTTGTACTGGTTTTTCCTGTTTCTGAGGTTTTTTCTTGAGGAGACATTTTAGCAAACACTTGCTAAACATACTCGCTATTAAAATAGTCACCTAATTAAGTTGGTTCACCTCATCCATAGCTTCATTTTGTGCAATTCCATTTACTCCCATGTTGATTTGCTGCTCGCTAACCGCGAATATGCTTTACGTTTTTGGCAGTAATTGTCTCAGACCAACTTTGTGCTTTTCTTATTTTAGTCTTCGTACATGCGATTGCAGGTTACAGTAGCCCTATAAAAGAACGAATGCTTTATTCTAGTTGCAAAAGCAATCTTATCGAATGTCTTTCTCGTCAATATGGTATCGCTATCGATCACAAGGTAAGTTACATTAGTTTGTCACTACGCATGAAGACCGCAATTCGGTAACTTGACGTCGGCGTTTTGGTGCGTTATTCACTTCGATGTTGTTGGTAAAGTGTGCATCAATATGCCAAACAAATAATTTAGGCTTGGCTTGGTCTGGCCAGCTGTTCCAGCATGAAATTTCAAGAATCAACCTGATTCAAGTAGCCTGCTGTCTATTGTCATTGTTCCAATATTTGTAAAGCCTGTTGTTGAATTATATAATAGCACGTCAAGAAGTTATTTCCTCTTCGACACACTATCGATGTTTACTTTTTGTTGGGGTAATAATTAAAGGACCCCGCATATTGATGTGTTGCTTATCATTGACTAGATTCAGAAATCCTGGGAAAATTTCCTCTTGCTTATCAATAAGATGCAACACAACATTGTCGGCCTGTTTTTAATAATTATGTACTGAAACGTGCCATGTTTCGGATTGCTTGAACACTTATATAATTCTGTTATAAATCAACGTTTCTCGGAAGCCTCTCTTGTGGACACACGAGCAGTCGAACTCGTATTCAAAATCTTTTTATCGCACTTAGTTGGAAATTGAAGACTTCAAAGAATTAACCACCGCCTACTTGATGAGCGTAGCTCATCCGATGAACACTGAGACGCCGATGTCTCTTCCGAGGCCCAAGGGCCCCTCCAGCCGCGGTCCCCGTCGTCTGATCAAGTAGTCCGCTCGCGCCTCCGTCTTTCCTCTTTCTTCATCGTGCCAATTCCAATTTACTATATAAGCAATGTCCATTGGTGAACTTAGTTTTTCTCAACTGAGAGCGAAATGTTGCTCGAACTTTCTGATGTTTAGGGGTTATAAGTGCACTTGTTAACTTGATTAAACCTATCTGTTATGACATTTCCAGTGTCCTTGAGCAGATTGTCCCTTTCGACTGATGATTGTTCTAGTTGAATCATCCCTTATAGTGCTGATAAATAAGTAGAAAAGCATTTGGGCCTTCTTGTGAGTCCGTTCGATGTTGTCATTGTGTATTACAGACCTGTTTTGGTTGTATTCTATAACGTCGTCCGTTTCTCAAAACTCATCTAGTGGCTCACGTGAGTTACTGTCAGATTGATTGAATTTATTTTCCAATTCAAGCCAATGCACGATTTAGTTAAGCCCCTGTGTGTAACGCAATGTGTGGCTTTGAATGCTTACTGCCACATTCGGCTTCATCATCTAATTTGTGAACTTGGCCAGTTATTCTAATCAGAACTCGGGCAACGATTATTTGACGTGAAGATGCTGTTACTTCCAGAATCCGATGTAACGCACTTCGCACTGGGACATCTACAATTTATTTCCTCGTTAAATATGTACCAGTCAGTGAACACATCTTGATGCATTTCTCGCCGAGATAAATATGTTGGAGCGCGAGGTCGCAATTCCTCAGGTTCTAGGTATTGAGAAGCTTGGTAGCGACTACCTCTAGGAGAGAGATTTGGATACGCAGCCCTAGGGTTGACTACGTAAGCACACATTCCAGCTCCCCTAGTATAGTAAACAGGGACCAAGTTTATCGCGTAAACATTCGCGACTCTGTACAAAAGCATATAAGACAAAGTGGCCTAAATAACTGGCACGACGCCACAATATAGGTACGTGCCACAGTGATAGCCTCGTACGTCATGTTTTAATAAAATCATAATAAAATTAGAATTACATCCATGAGTTCAACATAATGAGCGTCAATGACCGAACCTGTCTGTGTGGCCGATAATAAAAAAAAGCATAGCGGAGGGCAGGGCGATTTAAGCGGTAGTAGGTGAAACCAGTGGAGAGTAGGGCATGTTATTGGCTCCACAAGACCTTCTCCTCCTCCAAACAATGCAATAAAGCGCCCCGAGACTGCTGAGGAATAACAAGAGGAATGTGGATAACAGCACCGCAACTATGACTTTGTACCTAGCAGGAATCCAATCCACCTTGCATGCCTCTTCAAAGTGGTCCGAGTCCAGCATTAACGACTCCACGGACCGATAGACCATATCAAAAGGGCAACCCTCGCTAGCGTTCCGGATAAACTTGCAGGCTTCAAATTGCAGATACTCTCCACTGTTATCCCGCCAACCACGCTTGTAAAAAAGACGAAGAACAAAGTCACTTTTCTGGGCAGGGGGAGGAGGCCCAACGAGCTCGAGCATAACGATGGACGCGTATTCAGGCTTGTGTTCACCTGCGTAGACCCCAAACGCGCCAAGTAGAGAAGCGACGTTGGTATCGTGAGCAGAATAGGCAAGTATTGGCTCGAGGGTTGAGGCGTTTATCATGAGGGACTCCATCCGATCAAGAGTGTCTTTTAAATAAACTCCGACGCTCAATTTCAGGATCCTTTTGTCAGTGAAGATTAACTATCAAAGTAGGAACGACTGATCAACCGGAAGAACATAAGTATGTAGCTGTTACTTGTCAGTCTGCTAAGTAGTTCCTTACAAGGGCAGTGAGTACGGTTAACGCTCCAAAACTTATCCCAAAAGCCGTTCTTTAGGCGGAAAAAGATATTCAAACGTGAAGGCAGGACCGAGGGGAGCCAAAGGCGCCTAACAGATGTTGAAATCCATCTAAATCTCTATTTTTTGCTCGACTGATGAGGAAGTGAAGCTGCTTCAGGGACATTCTCGATTGCATGTAAACAAAAAAGACCCCACCAGTAAGCTACTTAAAGTATTGCGCTTGTCGCTATTAGGCGTGCCACTCACTTGGTAAGTGTAGGAACAGGACACCCATTGGCCGGTAAAAAGTGTAGTCAAAAACGCACACAAAAATATTTTTGCTGGGGGTCCCAAAATTCGACGTGACTGACGTAAGTGAAGATATGCCCAAATAAATGGTTAAGATGGACGGAACAGAAAATTATGCCGGAGTTGAATGCGTTAGGTTAAATTTCTCATTATGTCTAAAACACTCATGGGGATTAGTATATAAATCCAACCAGTTAGGAAGAAATGTGATAACTTATTGTTAAGACAACATGTTAGCGAAAAATAAGCTTATCGTATCAAAAAATGTTTTCCACAATCCTTAGATAGTGCATTTTTATTCACAGTAAACAAGGCGCTCCGAGTGCTGCGAACCCTATGCATAAATGCAAGCCTTTTAATGAACTGCATTTATCAATTGACATTCACCTTAAAAAAGTAATCCGTCATATTGCCTAGTTCTGTGGCTACTTCTAGTGTGTACCATTTCGGAAGTGTGGCATTGTGGGCAGTCAAGCACCTGAGGTCGTCTTCAATCTTCCAGACATCGCTAACGCCAATATTGGTGATGTTATATTGCGTCGAAAGAAATTTTACCGTTTTTTCATGCTGTTTCAACATTTGCGTGGCTTCCTCTGAAGTAAACAGCTCCTCACGCCTTTGTTCCATGCGTGGACACGGTGCAATAGCTAGCAATGTATCGGACGTCTGAAAAAAAGGACTAAAACGAACTACACCGGTTTTGTTTTTATAACACGGAAGCAAATTGGAATTCAAAAAATTCACACGAATAAGATTGTATATACATATACACAGTATGGGTCTGCTCGAAACACCGATAAAATGCGCATGCATCCAAATGGTCAACTCTGTGAAAGTAATTAGATGACAGTAGGCGTAAAGTATACAAAAAACAATGAGGAATCAAGCCCACCAACAAACACAAGCCACGTTTATTTTTATAGAACTCGTATTAAGATTAGTAGATGGGGTCAACGATAACGTTTCGACAAATAATGATGGTATAATAGAACGTAGACAATAAAAAAGGAGTTCTGGTGCACTACTGAACATTAAAATTTAGCTTTTTCTGATAAGTTTTAGAGTGGGTAGTAACTCCCGAGGTGGAAAGTTTAAAGGGAGCATTTAGCCATAGTTCAATTCGAAAGCACTGTAGAAGAGGAGTCATTTTAGGACATAATAAGTCATACTTTTTAGCTTACAAACAGTAATGTACTTACCATAGGAACCGTGTGGGTGGGAATGGGACGCCAATGTAAGCCATATTTACTAAGGGAAGATTCTGACTTATAATAAAAACCCGCCATTAGAGCTTGCGCTGACATCAACGAACGATCGATATCTGAGCTACGCATGTGGAAGGAGGATACGTTGTAGGCAGAAGGGAGGAAAGTAGCATAGCGATTTCTAAGCCACTTCCCCAAAAGAAAGTGCTGCTCAATACCTTCCTGCGTAAGTTGGCCGAATCCATCCGGCCAAACCTGATAAGGATTGTATCCATCAAATACGTAAGGTGTAATGGAACTGCGGTCGCCGTGTCGAAAAAGCATATGAATGTGAACAATATGATGCCTTCCAGAAATAACATGACAATAATTTAAAACGAGCAAAAAGAACACAACGCTTTTCAAATTCAAGAAGCTGCGGCTTTGGATTTCTTGGAAATATTCTAAGACCATTTTAGTTGGGGTTAAAGAAAGACATAAACGGATTCCTCTTAATATGGCGTAATTATGCAAGGAATTTTTGTACGTGATGTGGTGCTGTGGCGTCGGATTAGGGCGAAGACATGTTGGATCACCTGGACTCAGCCAATCCTGTGTCTCTCTGCGTTCCAATGGCATGCAAGGAAGATAAGCAGCCAACCAGAGAAGGACATGGATGAGATGCAATATATAATGAGCGGCGTGGCCAGCCTGGTGGACTCGGATGGAAGGCGCCTGACGCGTGGCTCTGGCTTCTGATTGGTCAATAAAGCCTGTTTTGTTGTACCAGTGTTTCCTATTAGGGCTCGGGTATTCTACATTTGATTGTTAGGTAGCGCAGACACATTGAACCACGACACTTCAGCTAATCCTCTTAATAATTGCGTCAAATTGCCTGCGAGGAAAATATGCAGCCAACCAAAGAACACACCAGCGAGAAGCAGGACGCAAAAGTGAATTTGAACGGAATATAAGAGGTTGATCTAGGCTGTGTTTAAATATCTAAAAATAAACATTACCAGACAAAAAAATCAGGATAAGAAAATTCGCTAATGTGCATTTAAAATTGCCGGATGCCTCATTAGGTATGTAAAAAAACTTACACATATAAAAGCAGCAGTTAAAAAAATCATATCGTGTTAATTTAAAAATACTAGGTGTACAGCTCAGTCTTGTGCAGATTTAAACTTGCAATATAGAATTTTACTAAAGCCAGAAAGCATAGCATTCGACGTTTCAGAACACCGATTAATAAGTCAACGTGAGTTACATTAAGTCTCAGAATGGCAAAGTGTATAATGGCAACTGAGAAGCAGCACATTTGATAGCACTGTATTTTAAACTCGCTTCAACAAGGATAGAATGCTTCTAATGCTCGGGAATCAATCTGTAAGGCTCTTTGCACGTACACTGCGTCAAGTGAAGCGTGTGGTCATTTGTACAATAGTTGTGTGATCTTTGATTTCAAACTCTGTGACCAGCCGCGCACAGGACAGTCTCGAAAGGGTGAAGATGCAGAATAGTAGGCTCTACTGGATGAAGATTTAAAGCAAACACAAGAGGAGCTTGCAGCTCAGTTCGGAGTCACCCAAGCAGAGCCAAATTAGGAAATTTTAAAAACTTGGAAGTTAGGTTACACATTTGTTGACTGAACACAACCTAGGTCAACGTAAGAACACATGCCTCCCACTACTTACCTGCCGGCAACAGCAAAGGATTTCTTGCGTCAAATTGTGACTTTTGATTAGAATCACGCATTTAAGATACTCTAAAACGCAAAAAGTCGTGGATGCATCCAGGGCGACCCAGTACATCGATGCCTAAATAGGACATCTGATTGAAGAAGGTTCTCTTGTGTATCTGGTAGGATATGAAGGGTTTACTTTATTGCGAACTTCCAGAAAGTGGTGTGATGGTGGTCGTGGAACGCTAGAGCCGACAATCGAACAAACTGAGCAAAGAGCATGACCAGGAAAGTCCAGTTAGTGGGCAAGTCATACTGTTGTATGACAAGGCTTGACTTCACGCTGCTGGCGCGACTCAGAATGCCCTCTTGAATTTGGAATGGGCAATTCGTCCACACGTGGCATATTCACCAGACTTGGCCCCATCTGGCT